CTTGTCTGATTTCAACTCTTGGTAGTGTTTTTTTTTGTGAGGATATCAGCCCTGTGCTAACATCTGCCAATCCTCCTCTTTTTTTGCCGAGGAAGACTGGCCCTGGGCTAACATCCGTGCCCATCTTCCTCCACTTTATATGGGACGCCGCCACAGCATGGCTTGCCAAGCAGTGCATCGGTGCGCACCCGGGATCCAAACCAGTGAACCCTGGGCCGCTGCAGCGGAGCACGCGCACTTAACCGCTTGCACCACCAGGCCGGCCTCTCAGCTCTATTTACTTTTATTTACTAGCATCAGTGTGAGGGATAAGTAGGTCATCTGATGTAAAGGACCTGAGATGAAATAGGCAAGTCTAGGAGTCAGGTTTCTCCACAGTTATCACATTCCCAAAGCTCCCCTTCCCATCCCCAATAGTCCAGCCAAATGGGCGATTTAGCATTTCACACATATACCTCCTGCCTTCCCACTTTTTGGCCTTTTCTCTTGCTATTTCTTCAGTAAGAAATAGCTTCCAATGTTCTTCACTTGTTGAAAGCTTGCTCTTCCTTGAAGACCCATTTCAAATAGCACCATATCCATGAAGTCCTCTTGGATTTGCTTGGCTGGCAGTGATTGTCTCCTCCTGAGGATTCTCACAACACTATTTATGTTTCTCTTTTTGTCATTTACCTTGTAATAAAGATTTGTGACTTGACATTTGATCCATTCAGCTGCAGAGACCTGCTTCTAACCTGTTTGATTTACCACCTGTAAAAAAATCAGTGGGTTGTTACATCTTGACAATTTTACCTCTACCTCCCTCTCATATTCTTTGAATCCACTTGCTAGCTGTGTGATCTTGTGCAAGATTTTTGACCTGCCTAAAACCCAGATTCCTTACCTCTAGAATAAGATGATAATACCTACTTCCGAGTGGTTCCAAGGGTGAACTGAGATAATGTTAGTAAAGCACAGCACCTAGTACTAAGTATTGATTGGGGACTAGGAGAGAAGTTTAAGTCAGGGACCATAGACCACATACTCTGACTTAGAAAGGAACTGGAAGAAACCTGTGTCCTTCTACGTAGAGGAAGCCTTGTTTTTTAAACAGTTTGATCTGAATGCCTTCTACACATTAAGCTGTCTTCTCATCAGGAAGCTGCGGATGTTTATTAGATTATCTTTCAATGGCCTTGAGGATGAGTTGTCCTGGAAAGTCCAGTAATGTGGGAGCCTGGCCTTTGGAAGACCTAGATGTTTCTTATCCAGTACTGAGGCCACCAAGTCACCATCCTCTCATTCTCTTAGCAGACTGTTTTGTCTTTGCCTTTACGATTTGACATTAAAGGCAGAAAGACTATTCCACAACTTTCTTCGAAGTTGTCTCAGACTCTGAACACATCCGCCTCCGAGCCCAGCTTAGCTTTGAGGAGGTCATCTTTCTGAGCCACTAAGCAGACCGTGTTCAGTCTAACTTTGCCTGTAATTGTGCAGTGACCCTTCTCTACACTCAGGGGAAACTTCAGACTAATCAGATTAGAAAATGTCTCATTCCCATTCCCCTCTCCCTCCAATATGCCCTGCCACGATTTGGGTCACATGCTTGGTGTTTTGCATCATCTCCGCAGATTCCTTTCAAAAACTGCCCTAATTCCTAGTGGGCCCATCAGCCTGCAGCTTACATTTATATTCCGCATTCTTATTGTTCCCCACAGACTCCACAGGGCTTTCCAGAGCCTTGACCAGACTCTCTTTCTACACAGCCCTCCTGTGGCACGCTAAGCCAGAGCCCTTCTGACGTCTACAGTCTCCCGTGGGAGGCAGGCATGGAGTTTGTTGATTTGGTTTAATGCACACTCTGCCCAGGGGCAGTTTTACCTGCCTTGGGATGGAGCTGGGCAGCTGTTGAGCCCTGCTCAACATATAGCCCTGCTGTGTGAATTCAGATCAGGAGACAAAAAACAATATGGCTAAAGATTTGGATGATTTCTTTCACCCAGTGATCGTTACCCATGTATTTCTCCTGACCCTGTGTTTTGGTACTAAGATTTCCCCTCTACTCCATTTCTATTTTTCTTGTGATTCAGTTAGGTCTTTTCCTTATTAGCACGACTCAAGCTCGAATCAGGACTTTAAAATCTTTTCACATCCAGTTACCCAAGCCCTTGGCAGTTTGTGCTGTGGTAGCTAGTATGAGGTCACCTTGCTTACCAAACGAATTCATTTCACTAATGCACAGAGATCAGACTTAAATGTTCTATGTAGTGGTAGCTATTACCCATTAATAATAGGAGTGACAGTCTGTGGTGACATAGTGCCAAGGGCCCTAGAATATTTTGTAAATCCTTGAGCATATTAAAAGGTACATTTTAGTTGATGGTAGGCATGATTCTTCATTTTGTAAGTGCAAACGCTGAGGTATAATGAGACTCTTTCAGTGAAAGAGGGTGCTTCAGCCCAAGATCAGTCTCTAATGGAATTAGACAACTCCCTAAGATATCCTAAGCCTTTGTTTCTCTCTGAGCTGCTAGGAGTAGGGACTATGTCTCCTTCATCTTTGCAGCCTCAGGGACTTGTCCTGTGCTAGTACACTGGGCAGGGAAGAAAAACGGGCTTGATATCCACCAGACCTGCCTCTGAAGTCCAACTCTACTGCCTCCTGCCCATGTGATCCTTGTAAATTGACTCAACCCCTCTGAGCCTTCGTTTGGATATTAATATTTCCTCAATACTAATAAGCAAAAAATTCTGGTTCTCAAACCATAAGAGGTAGAGAGTATTCTGAGGTCATTCTGTTCTGTGTTCCTTGTGGGACTGGAGAATAAAGAGACAGCCTCTTCCCCTAATTGCGGCCTTCTGAATCAAGACTTGGAATAGCTGGAAATTCAAGTGCAACTCTTTCCCCAGCAGCTCTGCCCCAAGCTTGTCTTTTAAGCTGGCTTTGGGCTCCATGGAATGCCTTTGAACTGGCCTCCCAAGAGAGCTGGTGCCTCATCCAGAAATGTCAGTTAAAATGGAAAAAGTTAACAGGGCTTTAAAATCATCTCATTATACTCTACCCAGCCTCGCCCCCTACCCCTCTCCCAGAGGCATGGTTTGGGCTCAAGTGGTTTCAGCCAACAATACCTGGCAGTGAGGCTGAAGGACAAGGGTTGAGCCAT